GGGACTGGCCGGCCCCCGAGCACTTCGGCCCCTCGGCATTTTGGGGGCGGACTCGGGGCGCACGCTTCGCGCCCCGATCGCGGTGACAAGCGCTCCCGGGGCCAGGAGCTGGGCTGTCTGGCGCGGGGAGGGTGAGGACACACGGTGCTGGGGCTCGCACGGGACCCGGGACGTCGCGATGAACATCGTGGTGGAGTTCTTCGTGGTCACTTTCAAAGTGCTGTGGGCGTTCGTGCTGGCCGCGGCGCGCTGGCTTGTGCGGCCCAAGGAGAAGAGCGTGGCCGGCCAGGTGTGCCTAATCACAGGCGCGGGCAGCGGCCTGGGCCGCCTCTTCGCTCTGGAGTTTGCCCGGCGCCGGGCACAGCTGGTTCTCTGGGACATCAATACGCAGAGCAATGAGGAGACTGCAGGCATGGTTCGTCACATCTACCGGGACCTGGAGGCGGCCGACGCCGCTGCTCTGCAAGGTAATGGCCCGTGCTTTGTTGGGTCAAACCTCTCCCCACCCCGGAGGGTCCCCACACCCTACTGTCACGGGCAGCCCCGCTCTCCGGGCAAAGAACACCCACAAGTCTTCCAAAGGCGAGTGGAATTTGCCCCTTGATAAGAGAGCACGGTTTTCCGTGTTGAAAGACTGAAGTGCACTAAAGTCAGGTTTCTCCGGCGCCACACTGGGCTTTCCTAAACTCTGCCAGTAGTGGAGGGCAGGGAATCTTGCTACTACCACAGGTTTAGATCCGAAAGCACTTTCCCAGTCTGGCTTGCATGTGGCATGATGGGAAGCTAAAGTGTCTTTGGAAAGTTGTTCCACAATGAACTGAAGCAGTTATCTGTTTCTGTGAGGTCTGAGCCGCGTAGGCTAGAGCTCTAGGGATCGTTTCACTATAACTTTAGCTCCGGGAAATAATTACATTGTTTCCCCATCCTTAAGTAACTGAGCGATTCCCTTCCTCTGAGAAGGTGCTTCAGTGATTTCAGACCTTTGGTAGACTTCTTTCATGGTTTTGGGGTACCCCAATCTGCATTTTATGTGCTTAACAGCTAGTTTGCATCTGAAAAAAAATGTAAACCTAAGTGAGGATCATGATCAGCTATAGATCCTGGTCTAGGAAATTTGGTGGTGGTCAGATTGACTTGGCCTGCTCTCCCTCATGTCTATCATTTCAAGTTTACCAGAACCTGTGCTTTTTAGGTGAGGTTCAGAATGTCACATTTTCAGAGCTCGTGTTGAGAGGCAACAAATTTGAGCATTTTTGCTCCCTGCCCAAGCCTAAGAGAAAGCAATATTCATTTTTAGGGAAGGGATTTTGAGTGTATGCTGTTTGAACTCTACTGTGGTAAACTTGCACATTAGCTTCTAAACTCCATCTGTGAGATTAATTCTTAAGGGAATCGGTTTAAAGACAAACCAGTGACCTCCATTCTTTCATTAGAAACTTCTCATCCATTTCCTGGCTTTGAATGAGTTCATATTGTTGCTTACAATTTGGATTGTGAGCCTTGGAGTGGCTTTCTGTTTTGAGGGCAGAGCTCTCTAGCCACTGGCTTCCTCCTACCCCGGCTGAAAGCAGGAATGTGTAATGTGTGTTGTTCTCTGGGCCGAGCTCAGCCCTTTGCAGGTGTCTAGCCCCAGCAAGTTGATCCCATGTGGTCTACTTGTATTGGCCTGGCCACGATTGCATGACTTTCCCCTAAGCAAGGTTGTCCAGTAAATTGCTGTAATTCCCAAAGACTTTCGGGGGAGGAAGGCAGCTGTAAGCTGAATTATTGGCAAGCATTACGGTGTTAGAAATTTGAAGCTCACTGTAGTGTTTTTGCTTTGTATGAGTTTTGTCCTACTGACTGCCATGTGGTTCACTTTCTGCTCCCCTTCTCTCTTCCATCCTCCCCTCATCTGGATTCCGAGGACAGCTGGCAATGGTGAGGAGGAAATCCTGCCCCCTTGTAACTTGCAGGTTTTTACCTACACTTGTGACGTGGGAAAGAGGGAGAATGTCTACCTAACAGCTGAAAGGGTCCGCAAGGAGGTCGGTGAGGTCTCGGTCCTGGTCAATAATGCCGGTGTGGTTTCTGGACATCACCTCCTGGAGTGCCCTGATGAGCTCATTGAGAGAACCATGATGGTCAACTGCCATGCACACTTCTGGGTAAATATAAACGTCTTTGTTTTTATTCCTGGGTCCTCAGTGAGAAGGCCGGCGTGAAAGCCACCTGCACGCCTCCACATCTAATGAGCTGTTCCCACCGTGTCTCCACCTTCAGTGTTCCTTAAGAAGGTAGAAACTGATGATGGTGAACTACTTTGAAAGGTTGCTGTTAAAATAACAAGAGGGAATGTAAGCCCCGGCTTTGTTTATTTAGCTTTCTGTTGAGTCTAGAAAACCCTGGTTCTTATGGATTCCTAAAGTCAGGGGTTGGGCTTCCAAACTACTGCTCAGCCACATTTTAGAAAGTGCCAGAAATTCTGAGATCAGCATCTGTGGTTAATTGGGAGTGGCCAGGCCACCTTGGCAGCTATTTAACACCCATCGGCCATACAAATTGTTCAGATGGTGGACATCTCGGGACTGTTTTATCTGGTGCCTCTCAAATGAGGAGTCATCTTGAAAGAAGCACGGAGAGGGGAAGAGCATTTGTGGGTCCTTGTGATTCCTACAGCATCCAGAGTGAAAGGGGTCTTCAGTTCCCAGAGGACCACATCTTTGCAGCTGAGTTGTCCATAAAGGTAGATGCGACCCTTTCCCCTCCAATTCTGAGCTTGCCGTGTTGATCCATGTTTTACTGTTTTTTCTTTGTATTTTCCTTATGTAGTCAGAAATAATCCAGTAAAAGAGAACTAAGGAGAATCGAGAGTAGTTCAGGTAGTGGTAGGGTTTTAACTGAGCATGTGCAAGGCCCTGGGTTATATCCCTGCACTAAAGGGAACGGAAGAAAGGGTAAGGAGATAGGGTTTTACCCCCATAGGCAGACATGTCTTCCAATAGAACTCAACAAAGTGCTGTTTCTCCTAAACAGGTCACATTAAACCTCATTAATGTTTTAGCAACTGCTTAAAAACTTAATCTGTCTTCTGAAGTATTCAGATATTGCTTGTCCAGTATCAAGGCTCTTCTCTGGTCCTGGATGAAACTTATCCTAATGTTTTATTTGGAAACATGAGCTTTATGTAATTTGTTTCCAAGCTTCTAGAAATGAACATATGAATAAGCCGAGCTCACCCATCGTGGCATTTTAAATGAGTGTTCAGCGTGAGAGAATGAGCACATACATGTACACATGCATAGGTGTGCAGTCAGTGTGCAAAACAGACAAGCCTTTTGCTCCTGCAAGAACAGGCATCAAATGTCACAGCACTGCCATGAGTTCCTAAGGGCCAACTGAATGGATTTATCAAGACTCCTCCCCAGGAAAGGCGTAGCCGCTCACACCTTTAACCTCAGCCCTGGGGAGACGGGTAGCTCTATCTCTATAAGTTCAAAGTTAGCCTGGTCTAATAACACAGTGAGTTTCAGGCTATCCAGGGCTACTTAGCAAGACCTTGTTTCCAAAACAAACAAACAAAACCAGGGGTCAGCAATTGAAATAAAAAACAAACTGCCAGTGTGGTGTAAGTTCCCTGTTTGAAATCTCAGACAGATTTCAGTTGATTTCAGTCAAGCCTCGCCAGCCTTGAAGACATACCCTTCCATTGGAAGATCGGTATTAACCAGACACTGATTTTTCTCCCCTCAGCAATGTTTGAGGTGATGCAAGATTTCCTAACTATTAACCTTAACCTTCACCAAGTTTCCTCAAGTTTCCCCATCTTGACTATTCTCTGCATAATCATTTTACTAACTTGTACAATTTTAAATATACCCAGGTTTTTAGGGAAACCATGCAGCCTTCAGTTAAATGCATGTCGCAGGACAGGAGCCAGTCTTTAGACATGAAATGAGGTGCTGACTTAGAGTGCTGAAGGAAACCCACGGCCCCCTGTGGCAGGGCGCAGACTGATGCTCGTGCGGCACTTTCTCACATAGGAAGACATCCCATCCCTGTGCCCGAGTTCTTGCACCAGGGGTGAGCTGCACCTTCCTAACCTCCTCGCTGAGCTTTGGGTTGCTTAACCACACAATTTAGGGAGTTCTTGGAAGCCTGGTTGGTAATGACATCACTTTGTATTAAACTATGGGAGGCTCCTGAATTCTCCAGCTGTTTTTCCCCTAAGCATCTAAACTTAAGAGTTTATTTTCAATATTGAGTCAGAAAATTCATTTTAGTGTTGGAATTTCTGACTTCTTGCCAAGACTTCACAAACCTTTAGAGAAGCTGAGAGTTAGCAACTGCAACATAAAAGAAGGCTGCTTTTAATCTTTACGGTGGTTGCTGTAGGGGTTTAAAAGTTTTGCTGAACGCCACTTGAGTTCAGCTTCCATTCCTGGTTTTCTTGTTTGAAAATGTTAGTGGTAGGTTTGCAAAGATGTGTTGCCTTGGCTTCGACCATTCTTGTTTCAGAAGGAAATAACCAGTGTGCCTTTTGACTATGCCTGGGCGGGGAAAAGAAGTTGCCCCATCCAGTTAAAAATGTCGGTCTGCTGAGCAGAGTGCATTCCGCCATTTGGACAGATCATCGTAAGCCAGACTTTTAAGTAGCAGTCAATGTCTGTTTTCGTAGAATAACAAGTGTGTTGACCCTGACTCAGAGTTCACGTCATGGGAGAACTAGACTAGCATGTGACTCCTCGGAGGTGCTCTGCAGGCTCCAGCCTCTGCTCCTTCTTCCACTCCTCCTCTAAGGTCTATTTCGTGATGGTAATGGAAGCGTTCCTCCCAACCCCCCTTTACTGGCACCTTGGGATTGGGAGCTGTAAGGAGCCTTAGGACTGTCCTCTGAGCCCCTGCACATGCTAGGGGCACTTTACCCCCAGCTACACTCCTGGCCTAATCCCTACTTTTCTGGTGAAGCTACAGTTAAATGAACTATGTATAATTTTTTGTTGTTCTTTTTTCCTTCTCTGCTTTTTTTGTGGCATATATTGTCATTTGTCATTTGGTGCATAGTAAGTGTTTTCTGAAATAACTTTGTCAACTTTGTGCCTTACATAACAAAGTTGGTGACAGGTTGTTTGGTGGCATTTTGTTATACCAGAACCCCCACTACATGCACACACACACACACCTGGAACTGTATTCTAATTTAGTTAATAAATATTTGATCATACGTAACGGGCTTCTGCTGAAATATTTAGAAGGTAACCTATTCAGAAAGTACTCAGATGGGTCCATGCTGTGGGTTCTGAGCAGGGAAACGTCATGCTGGACTAACCAAGCTATTGACTTCAAGTTAGGGTTGCTTTCCACTCATTGTCTGTGTCTCCTTTAGTTCCTGCCCACACTTTTTACTCCCCTTGCTCCTGTGTGCTCTTATCTGCGTACCGTGCTGAGCCTACTCCTAGGTGCAGGGCTCGGGCTTTTAAGAAGAAAGCTGTTGGTACAGCACAGTGAATCAAACACAGATTGAATGCATGGCAGCCTCCAGAGGAGACGCTGTATTGCTGCTGCTTCCTTCCTTCTGAGCACATACACTCCTGCACACTTGGAAGGCACAGCCCCCAGTCAGCTGTGACACTGGCCTTCAGAGCTGTTCTGTCACCAGCGATCCTCCAGGGACCTTCTCTTGGATCCAGTCAGCAAATGACTGATGCGGGGTGGGTCTAGTCTGCTTGTCTGCTGTGAGCATCCAAGTCATCCACACAAATGCTGTCTCGGTGAGAGGCAAGAACTTGAACACACACCTCTCATGCACCAGGTGACATTGAAGCCTGGCCTCCACACAGTGACCGCAGCCTCGCCTTTCCCTGAAATAACTAAATTAGCTTCCCTTAGGATTTTGGTTTTTTTCCGGAGAGGGAGTCTTGGTTGGTTTCTGAGCCAGAGTTTAGCCATAGGTCCTTTTAAACCAGGGAGTTGGGTTTGGCCTTTATCAGTTTGGCAAACTGATCCCTGATTATCAGAAAGAGAAAAGCAAAAGCATTCAACCTCCGGCCTTTTATGTGCAGCAGAGATTTTTCCATGGTAAAGGACTAAATCTGTCAGCTAGTCAGTAATTTACTTCTATTGATATGGTAGTCAGACAAGAAAATTGGTAGTTAATTAATAGACCACTTAACTTAAAAGGTTTCTCAGTTTTAAAATACTAATTACCGATTTCAGCATTTATCTATATCTAAATGTCGACAGTCTATTTAGTAAAATCCATCCCAGAGAAGTGAGAGCCCACAGGCTAGACCCAAGTAAGGCAGCACTTAAAGACATTAGCACGCTACCAACCACTGTACCTGATATCTCAAGAATGGTTCCTCAGCACTAATGTTTGTGTTCTTACATGATTTACTGGTTTTTAATCTTATATACTGTATTCTCTGACTAGAAAAACCTAGTTGGCTTAAGCTCTCTTAGACTTTAAATGTGTTTTTTTTTAAGTACTCATAAAGTATTTGTCTAATGCTTTCTCTCTCATACTCTAATATAATAAAACTAAATCTTTTATAGAATAATCATTTTCCTATTTCAGGGTAGCTGCTGAAAATGTGGAGTTTGTAGCCTCTTTGTAAGTGTGCCAGAACTGGCTCCTGCCACCCAGTAGACGTCCTGTGTGTAGCAGTGTGAGGGCAGCAGGAGGAGACGGTGGCTGAGCAGAGGTCCGTGTTGGCTACCTTGTCGGGCTCTGGTGGTCGCTGACCACTGATGAGACTTCTCTTTAAATTGGAAGCTGCTTGGGGGATGCACAACTGTACTGTATACACAGAATGCGATCACATGCTCTGTGAATTTTGAATTTCTATATTGGATATATGCTGGGCCAAATGTATTGCCCCTAAAAGTCAGGTTTTACAACATGATAAAATGTACTTTGCATCCTGGTGTAGGCAGAGAAGAAAATGGTATCTTGTCTAAAAGCGCCACTCCATCTTTGATACAGTATAGTCTGTGCCTGGTTGTCAGACTTACTGAGGAAGCAGTGCTGGGTAGCCAGTGCCTTATGTTCTCAGCTGGCAGAGGGAAGCCTGTGTTCTCAGAATGTGGCCTTGATCGCCTCCTTGAAATGCAAGTCCCTCTCCCCTTTGCTCCACATCTTAGCTCTCCACAGTAAAGCACTGGCTCC